CGGCCGTTGTATCTCGTCTGCTTCTCCTGAAGTCAACATCGGAGTTGCAAGGAGAAAAGGAAGCCAGCAGTTACTATGGGCAAGTCTCCAGATCAAGCCGATCCACGTGTGCCATTGGGCCCGGACAAGTCTGTGAAATAATATTATCGTCTCCATTTCGCAGATGAGGAAACGGGCCCGGAGGGGTCAAATCACTCGCAGCGAACCAGCAGCACGGGGCCGCTTCGAACGCTTGTCTGTTTGAATCCAAAGGCACTTATGAGAAGTGATGGCCGGCGGGGCTTTTAGATCTAACCCCGAAGCCAAGTCCCCTGTTCCTCCTTCGTTCCTTCACCTGCTGAGTGCTTCTTAGTGGCTGTTCTGTGTGGGACGCGGGGTCAGTGACAGTAGCAACTTGGCCTCGGCTTCCTTCTGTTCAGCCGGGTGCAGGTCTATGCTAATAGAGTATTTGGAGAGATTTCTTTTTTTAAAATATATTTTATTGATTTTTTTTTTTTACAGAGAGGAAAGGAGAGGGATAGTTAGAAACATCAATGAGAGAGAAACATCGATCAGCTGCCTCCTGCACACCTCCTACTGGGGATGTGCCCGAAACCCAGGTACATACCCTTGACCGGAATCGAACCTGGGACCCTTCAGTCCACAGGCCGACGCTCTATCCACTGAGCCAAACCGGCCAGGGCTGGAGAGATTTCTATCGTCCCCAGGTTCTTTGAGGGCCGGCCACCAGCCCAGGGGCTGCTTTTCGGGGATGGGGGTGGGGGGGGGAAGAGCCTCCTCCGGGGAGAATCCAAGCTCTGGGTGTTTCAGGAAACGTCTGACCCGCCAGGCGTCCATGTGGCTGATCAGTTAGAGCTGAGGGCGGGGGGGTGGCCGGGAGGGGAGGTTTCCCGTCAGCCCAGCTTTTGTCTCTCACATGAGCCCGAGACAGACAAACCACAACCACAGACTCGACCAGCTGTGGAAGCACCGAACAGGAAACCCAGAACATCTGGTGCTCCGCTTCCTCTGAAGGCCGCGCAGTCTGGGCGTGTGTGTCCGCCGGTGTGCACGTCTGCTTTCTCTCCCGCTGCTGTTTGGTGGGACGAGGATGCAGACAGGGTAGGAAACCACAGGGCAGCCAGACACCCGCTCCCCAGCCCTTACAGAGCCTCGTCCTCCGACAGCGGCCCAGGCTCAGCCCTGATCGCACAGGCCGCCCTCCGATCCCCGGCACAGCTTCCAGGCACCGGGCACTTGGAGAAAAGGATTTATTTTGTTTTATTTTTTTATGTTTTATTTTTTTGCCCTTTTGGATTTGGGTGGTTTTGGAGGAGCTTGTTTGGGGAGGAGGTGGGAGGGCTCTGCTTAAATATAACTTGGCCTCAGCACACAGACCCACAAAAAGCAGCGTCTGGATGAAAGCTGTTTTTAAAACAATTTGAGGAGAATCTGCGGACGACCTCTGAGGCCGTGGGCTGGTCAGGGGGCTGTTTTCCCACTAGTGGTGGTGTCCTCAGTGTGAGGCCTGAGACAGACAGAGACTGAGAAGGGAAGAAATGTAAGGAAGTGGAAAGAAAAGATTCCTCAAACCCAGGCATGCGGTTTAAGTCTCATCAGTCACCTTTAGGAGGTAGGCATTTTAGATTTATTTTTTATTGATTTCAGAGAGGAAGGGAGAGGGAGAGAGTGAAAGAAACATCAATGATGAGAATCACCAATTGGCTGCCTGCCACGCACCCACCACTGGGGATCGAGCCAAAAACCCAGGCAGGTGCCCCAACCCGGAATCGAACCATGACCTCCTGGTTCATAGGTTGACATTCAACCACTGAGCCACACCAGCCAGGCTGGAGGTAGGCATTATTCTGCCCATTTTTATGAATCATGTAATTGAGGGGCAATGAGGGTAATTCACCCAGGATCACTCAGCAAGTAAGGAGCAGAGCCAAGGTTCAAAATCAAATCTGACTCCGGGACGAATCCTAAACCTTAGACCACACTTCATTCTTTCCATGAGCAGTAACAATCCAAGCCGTGCCTGGCACACAATTGTGCGATGTTTCTCGAATTAATCAGTGAAGTGAGCTGTCACCTATGGGGGAACTGTCATCATCGCTGTACCCAGGGCTCAGCATACTGCCCAGGACAGTGGGTACTTCCTAAGTTTCAGAACCATGACAATTCATTTACCTGCAGGCCATGTTCTTAGCCAGATGGACTGTTTGGATCCTGGCTAAACATCTGAAAGCAGGTTAGAAAGAACCATGAACGGTCAACATAAGTCACAAGTCCTTAAAAGTTCCCATAGTTGACTTAGAGCCGTGGTCGGCAAACCGCGGCTCGTGAGCCACATGTAGCTCTTTGGCCCCTTGAGTGTGGCTCTTCCACAAAATACCGACTTCTGCACACGGGCCACGAAGTTTCAAGCGCACTGTACGTGCGCGCCCACACGTGGTATTTTGTGGAAGAGCCACACTCAAGGGGCCAAAGAGCCTCATGTGGCTCGCGAGCCGCAATTTGCCGAGCCGCAGTTTGCCGACCACTGAGAGAACTCAGGTCCTCAGGAGGAATCTGGTTACCTTTACGTTACAACTAGTGCAGAAGAGTTTGCTTGCTGATCTTGCAAGCATCGGTTTAGAAAAGACTATCAGTGGCTCTCAACCTTTTGGCCCTTTAAGTACAGTTCCTCATGTTGTGACCCAACCATAAAATTATTTTCGTTGCTACTTCATAACTGCAATGTTGCTACTTATAGGGCGCGGCTACAGTGTTTTGGCCAGGTTCAAGCCTCGGACTAATGAAAGGACAGGGTCCTCTCATTGCCACGTGCAAGTCCCAGCTGGAGGGCAGGGCCCTCCCAGCACAATCATAGCCAACGGCTGTGGTTGTGAGCTTGAACCTATGGTCCGAACACGTGGCCCCACGTGCCTTGTGATAGAGTTCAGGTGCATGTAGTTGAGTGAGGTTGAAACTCACGAGAATGCTGTAAACAACGTGATCACACCCCTACTTTGCCTCCTGGCATCTGCTATAAAATAAAGACACAGCTTGTGGGCGCCGGCGCTGTCTCCTCATCAGGGAGTAGCGTCCCCCCACTGAGACCCAGCTTTCATTCTCTTGTCTGTCTTCTCAATCCTTTCACCCCCCCACTCAGGATCACCTTTGGCCATAACAGCTACTGTTATGAATTGTAATGTAAATATCTGATACGCAGGATGGTCTTAGGCGAACCCTGTGAAAGGGTCGTTCGACCGCCAAAGGGGTCGTGACCCACAGGTTGAGAACCGCTGGTAGGTGGTCTGATAGAGGAAGCTTGCTGGCAACAGCAATTTGGGGATTCAGCTGGCATTTTCAGACTGGTAGGTGGTGTATGGATGCAACGAGGCATGCGCCAGAAGAGGTAAGAGACTAACAAGACAAAGTGAAGGAACTGTCTGATTCTCGGACATCTGCCCTCAAAATAGCACCCAGAAAGCCAGCGGGACTGGCACCCCCGATGACTTCTCCGGCTAAAATTAAAGGCGCGCCAGGGCTGGCAACACGAGCCAATCTGAGGTGACACATGCGCAGTGTCCCAGGCTGGGGAGCCCTCTCTGCAGAGCCCTGTCTTAGGAGCCAAAGCTGACGTCGTTTTAGCGCCGCTGGGTGCGTGACGTCATCCTAGCGCGCCTCCGCCGTGCGGAAGCCCGGAGCTGGGACTGGCGTAGGCGTTGCTGTGGAGACGGTGCGTTGATCCCCGCCCCCGAGAGGGGATTGGAGGAGAACTGGTCAGCTGATGTTGGTGAGGTTCCGGAAGCGCGCGAAAGGTCCCGTGGCAAGCTCTCCGCGTGGGTTCCCTTGGCAACCCGGACGCTCTCGCTCTGTCCGGACCGGCGATCCCAGGAATCCCCAAAGGTAGAGTCATAAACTAAAATAGTAAATATCGGAAGTGCCACTGGTCCAAGGAAAGTAAAAATTCAAGCTGCTCTAGGTCGGATTCTGCGTGGGGCAGGAGGCCCCAGTAAGGCTTGAATGTGTTGCTCTTCGGCGCAAAACCTTCCCAAGACTCCGCTGTCAGAGTAAACGCCAACGTTTTTTCATGGCCAGACATTCCTGCACCACCAGGTTCCTGAAACTCACTGCGTCCCTCTCCTAATTTTGACCCCCTCGCTTTACTCCCGCCACGTAGGTCATTGGCCGTGCCTACTTCTGCCTCTGGGACACAGAACTTACTGTCCTCAAACATCCCCAGGGCTCCCTCCCTCACCTCATTTGAGGCTTTGCTCCAACATTCCTGACTCGAAAAGGCCTCTAATCTCCTGATTTTACAAATCTGACTCCCTGATCCCACGTTCCCGTTGGGCTCCATTGCATTTGTCACCTAATATACACTAAAACTTATTTATCTTATTTGGTGTCCTCTCTCCATATGAAGGCAGCAGTTTTGTCTCCTTTGTCATCGCTGCATCCCTAGTTCCTAGATAGAAGCTGGCACGTGGTAGGTGCTCAGTATTTGTTGAGTGAATGGATGTATTTCAAAATTAGAGGGTTAACTAGTGGTTAAATGACAGAGCTTTAGGGGCTTGGGTCCCAGTCCCCCTTTGTCACCTAGCTGCTTTGTGACTTTTAGGAAGTTTAACCTTTCTGAGTCTCGGTTTTTTATATTTTTTTAAATTACATTTTTATTGATTTCAGAGAGGAAGGGAGAGGGGGGGAGAGAGAGAGAGAGAGAGAAACATCAATGATGAAAGAGAATCATTGATCGGCTATCTCTTTCGAACATCTCACACTAGAGAACGAGCCCAAAACCCAGGCATGGGCCCTGACTGGGAATCAAACCGTGACCTCCTGGTTCATAGGTCAACACTCAACCACTGACCTACCCCGGCCTGGCTCAGTTCCCTCATTTTTTATATCAATGACATGATACTTCTGCCTTTCATTCAACAATATGAAACACCTCCCCGTGTGACCAGCACATGGCTGGTGGCTGGAGTCGTAATGGAGAACCTATATCCTGAGGAAGCGTTACAGACAATAGCCATACAGTCATCCAAATAAACGGTTATTCACAGATTGTGACGGAGGACAAGCAATTAGTGCTCAAGGGCTGAGGGTGGGAAAGAGCTCTCCTGAGGCAGTGACTTCTTCATTCTATTAGTCAGCTTGGGCTGTCATACGAAATGCCACAGGCTCGGTGGCTGAAACAACGGGAATTTATTTCCTCACAGTCCTGGAGGGAAGAAGTCCAAGATCAAGGTGTCAGCAAGTTTGGTTTCTCCTGAGGCCTCTCTCCTTGGCTTGCAGGTGGTCGCCTTCTTGCTGTGTCCTCACACGGTCTTTCCTCTGGGCACTTGCACTCCTGGTGTCTCTCTGGGGTCCTCATCTCTTCCTGTAAGGACACCAGTCAGATTGGATTAGAGCCCACCCTAGCGGCCTCATTTTAACATAATTACCTCCTTAAAAGCACCACCAGCCTTGAAATACAGCCCCGTTCTGAGACGCTGGGGTTTAGGACTTTAGCGGATGAACTGGGAAGCACAATTCAGCTCAAGCATTAATTAAGATCCAAAGGATGCCTTCCAGGCAAAGAAAGGGATATGAGTAGACATCCTGTGACAGGAAGGACTGTAACGAGTTGGAAGAAATGACAGGCCCATGTGGCCTGAGCTCAGAGTGAGGGGCCTTGGTCGGGCATTGCGGCGAGCAGCCTGTGCAGGGCCGCAGTGGCCACCCAGGTCTGTTGTTGGTGATGCGATGAGTTGCCTCATGAAAAGTACTCTCGCCACCAATGGGCTGGAAGGAGGCGACCCCCGGCTCCAGAGTGGAGTGACAGTGAGGGCTCCCTGGCAGGCGGCATGTGAGTGTCTTACAGGGATGGCTCAGGGAGGGGTTTTAAAATTAATTCAATGTGTTTGGGGGACATTGGTTAATAGGCTCACATAGGTTTCACATGTACGTTACTGCGATACGTGATCTGCATGTCGCATTGTGGACCCACCACGCGTGGCCATGAGGGTTTCCCGTCGATGGGAAGACTGGACAGAAGAGAGGCCAGGAACGGACTTCATCCACTGAAGTGGTGAGCAAAGAAATGTCCGAGCACACTAAGGAGAGGCATTCCAAAGTACTGAGTCTCTGTGTTCCGGGTGCTGGATACAGTGTGATTTATGATGGATGTGGTTTATGATGAAAACGGGAAGTTGCGGATGAAATTAATGCAAAGGAGGAAAGGTGTAGAGAGCGCAGTTGCACACGTACCCATTTGTCTGTCTACTGGGAACCAAAACACGGTGGAAATGACTTAGCGAGAAGAAGCACTTGTCTTCCATTTCCTGCCTCAGGTTCAGCTCAAAGCTTCCCCTAGGTTTACCTTAGGGGAGCTGATACACAGCAGGTATCCCTAAAAGCCTGGGGTGGAGGGGTGGCCCTCTCCCGGGCTCTCCGTAAGGGTTGTGCTGGGCAGCAGGAAGTTGTCTCACTCCATTCCCAGAATTCGGTGCCAGGAAATGGAACCCGCTGTGGCCTCCCACCCACCATCAACTCGAATGGCATGGCGACTCCACCCTTTGATGATTCAGACAAGACTCACTCCCTCTTTTCCTCGGAAGGAACCACAGTGAGCACTGCATCCCCGTGGCTGCAGAACTGTGACCGTCCTCTCTGACGCCCTGGACTGAGGGCCATCGGCCAGGGATTGGGAAGGTACAAGGAAGCCCCTTCTGATTTGGGACAGAATTGATGGTTAGAATCTGCTTGGTCATATTAGGCCACATCTCTCTCTGGTAAATCCTGGTCTGGCCTTCAGGAGCGACACAGACAGACCCTAATCCCTCCTCCTGATAGCATCGAGTGGTTGACAGTAGCTGGATGGTGCCCTTCTGATGCCCCAGGTCTTCTGTTCCCAAACTGAACATCGGCTCCAAAAGTATTCTTTCCTTAACAGTGCTTTTGTGCATATCCTTCTGCATAACCCTTTGCATCCTTGTCTTTGTTTTTCAAAACATATTTTTAATTGATTTCAGAGAGGAAGGGAGACGGAGAGAGAGAGAGAAACAACGATGAGAGAGACATTTCGATCGGCTGCCTCCTACACGGCCCCTGCTGGGGATCGAGCCCAAAACCCGGCATGGGCCCTGACTGGGAATCAAACCCGGGACCTCTTGGTCCATGGGATGACGCTCTACCCACTGAGCTACACCAGCCAGGCTGTATACTTGTCTTGGGATACATTTCTATACACTAACCTGGTGGGACAAATGGTGCCTGTTATAGCTTTCGCTGTACATTTCCAGATTGCCCCCCAGGAAGAGAGCTTTTGTTTATACGGCCACGGCCACGGCCACGGCCACGGCGGTTTACAGAGAGCCTGTTTCCCCACGCCCTAGGGAGTTTTCACTCTTTTAATCATTGCCCGTCCCGTCCGATAGGGGAAAGTAATTATCTCCCGGCTGCTTTCATTTGGCTGCTTTGGGTGAGGTTGGACATGTTTTCCAGCCCCGTCCTATACTTTTGCAATCAAGTTTTGGAGCCCAGCACAGGACCTTGCATGTATTCCAGTTAAATTTCATCTTGTTGGATAGAATCATTCTTTCCTGCTGAGATAATTTGGATCCCGATTCTGTAATTCCAACGTATTGGCCTCCCCTCCCAGTCCCGTGTTATTTGCACAGTTGATAAGCAGTTATCTTTGGCTTTATCCAAGTTGTTGATAGAATGTTAAAGGGTTTGGGGCCAAGGACAGAACTGTTTGGCAGGCCATGAGAGAACGCCTGGGGACCGCACTGTCCCATCTGCTGCTAACATTCCGCCTCATTCGGCAGTGGGTGGGGCCTTCGCCTGGGGCACAGACCCAGGCATGGGTCCCAGCCTTGACACTAAGTAGCTCCGTGGCCCAGAGCAGGTGGTACCCCCTTAAGCGAGCATGTGCCACCTGATTTCCTAATGTCCCTTCGAGCTCTGGCCGTCTTGGTCACTCTTGTCCGTGAGGATTTCATGAGAAGCCCTGACACTGCTGTCAAAAGCCGTTGCACTGTGGCAGAGGAAGTGCCCACCTGATTTATAATCGAGTGAAAGGCATTCCTTTGATCATCGATACTGACCTTTGGAATCCCCTTTCTAAACACTGGTCAACCATTCATTTGATTATCTGCTCCAGAATTTGCCCGTGATCAAAACTAAGCTCATTGGCCTTAAATTTATCCAATTCATCATTTTTTTTTTTTTAAATTTAGGACGTTTATCTCAATTCCCCACGATTCCTGGAAATACCCCGAGACCTCAGAGGTGCTCGGCGCTCCCTGCCGAGGCTTGTCAGCGCCGATTACTTCCATCTCACGGAGGAACAGCCACTGGGCTTGCCTCCTCCCACCCCAGCGTGGCCGGGGGGGCCCCGGGTACCCAGAGGGAGTTCATAAACAGCCTTGGCCGTGGTGACAGGAAACTGGGCAAATGGCTTAGGTTACGGGGAACGGAGGCCTCTGTGAGACTCACAGATGCCAGCTGCTCTCGTCATCAGCCGGAGAAGCAGCCCCGGGGCCTGGGGCGGGCACCTCGGTCCTTCAGCTCCATGTATAGCGCAGAGCGGAAGCATCCACGGCCTTGTCTTCGGGTGAAACGGTGACACATTCCGGCGCCTTTCTTGGCTTTACTTTACTCTCAACAGTCGGACAAGACGATTCTAAGGAAGGAATAGCAAGTATAAGCCCGGGGTGACAGATAGAAAGAAACTGAAAATGAAATTGGTAAGCGATTTAAGCGACGCAGTGAATCGGTCCCAGCTGAGTCACCTGGCTTTTTGTCACCCTGCCCGGGATGCCGCTGTGGGTTCACACCTGGTAAAGGTATCACGGGATCATGTCCGTTCGGATTGTCTGTTCTTACTCCTTCAGACAAGTAATGGCCGTGACAGTGACCACAGAGGCTAACGCTCGGCTCCTCCACCCTCGCAGGAATGAAGCCCAGAGGCCTCCCGGCCAGCGCCCCTGTCCAGCAGGTGCTGTGTCCACCTGTGTTTCCCAGGTGCCGAGATGGAGGCACAGAAGAGAGTCTCGGTGACCTGCCCCTGGTCGCCCGTCACCCCAGGGGCAGAGCTGGGGAGGGAACCGGGGCCCCTGGCTCCACACTTCAGCTCCGCTGCTTCCACGTCCCTGAGGATAAGGGAGGAACCGCTTTTGCAAATTGCTTCTCCCAGAAGGTGGAACCGCATCGCACACAGAGGAGTAACACACCGACTCCTCCATCTTCCAAGTGAGAAGGAAGGAGGAGCGAGAGGGGAAAGGGAGCCAAGGACGGACAGGACCCACCTGTCGCCGGGGTGCGCGGCCTCTGAGCCCAGCGGGAGGAGGGGGGCGGGGGTGGGGTAAGTCAACGTGAGAGAGGTGCCCGCAACGAAGAACACAAACACCGGGACCCGGGATTGCACCCGAGCCCGGATCATGGGACAGACCCTGCTCTCCAACCCGTCTTCCAGCAACAGGATCCCAGGGCCAAGTGCGGTAACCGCTGGCCCGCGGAGCGCTCCAGGCGCGGCCAGGACTGCGTGCCAACCGCCGGGCTCCCAATATTGTCTTCCAGTTGCTAGACGACGCTGCTTTCCAGTACATTATCTGGGGTATAAAAGCTGAAATGTAAGTAAAGCATTTTCATACAAATAATTTCAACCGCAACAAGGCCATTGGCTTCTGATGGAGTTGGCAGGAAGAGGTAATGAACTCACTCCGATGGACATATTCAGCGTTCCTCCGGCCAAGTCCAATTGGCAGCTTCGTAATGATGGAAACGTCCCTGTTATTTCCACTCCACCAGGGCTAGGCCCGCTGGTATCTGATTCAGTGTTTACTTCATGAATGAGGTCAGTTCCCAGCACAGCTGGGGTTTCGGCAGAGGGCTCGCGCTGCTGGTCAGCACACAGCGTTCCCACTAGAACCTGACCGGAGCCGACAGGGCTCCCAGGGCCCCCTTCCCGCAGCCTGCCCAGGGCGGCCACTGTCTCTGGCGTTTTCTGGGGTCTGGCCCCGCTCGCTGCTCTGCTAGCCCCTTCCCTGCAGAGGCCGACAGAGCCCGGGCTGCAGCCTGGCACACGGGGGGCACGTCCAAGTTCCCCACAGCCCGGCACTCACCCTCCAACTTGCCCCCTCGGTATTGCGACATCTCACCCCGTAGGAGCTTCGGAGCTGCCAGGAAACAGGGTAGGTTTGTTTGTTTTGTGTTTTTAAAATTATTTATTCCAGGATGGCTCCACTTGTGTGGTGAGAGAGTGACTCAGAGTGCCTGGGACGCCACCTCCAAAGGTAACCATGTCCCACAGGCCGGCGTGTCCCGGGCCAACTCCCCACACTGGTCAAAAACAAAAACAAAAGCTCCCACGGGCCCAGAACACTCCTCTGCACAAGCACACACGTGTGGAGCCGCGTCCTCGCCGCTCACGGAGGGACTGGGGAAACGGCCGGGCAGGAAGCAAAGGGGGCAGCCCGCAGCCTGACAGGGCTCAGCTCCACGCGGCTTCAGAAGCCGCCAGGGGCGCGCCCGTCCCTGGCCTGTCCCCCCGCGTCCTGAGCCGTGCGAGTGGCCGTGGGCCCCGCGCAGCGTGGGGTTGAAGTCCGAGGCGTCTCCGTGGCAATTTCTCATCTCAGTGCCGTCAAGTGTCAGGAGGCTCGGAGAGATCCATTGGTTTGGATCCCAAAGTAACTGGGCATCGGACGCTCGAGCAGGTTGCCGAACGAAGTCTGGGGGTGAAGCTGGAGCGGGAGGTGGTTTAAGGACGGGGTGCAAAGGCAGACCCCTGAGGAAGCGCCCCCTTTCTCAGCCTCCACGAGGCACAGTGTGTTCCCAGCGCCACGTTCTCACCTCCTAAGAGGGTGGTGAGACCCTCGGCCGCTGATGCAGACGCAAGAATAGAACCGAGTGGAGGAGACGCCGTCCCATTAGCCCTGAACAGCGGTCGTGTTAGGTGAAGACTCGGCGCTCTCCTACCGAAAGGGTCCGTCCGGCTGCCACAGGGGGACGCAGAGCATCTCTCCCGACTCGAGGGTCGACATTCCTGTGGGGTCCAGAGAGCCTGCTCGGGGCCATTCAGGTCCCTGCTCTTCCACGCGTCCTCGGGGCGCAACCTGCCTCGGACCCCAGATGCTAGGCCGTCTCCCCGCTCCTGGCACCCCAGCGCTAGTTCCTGCCATCAGTTCTGTAGCCTGTTATCCACCGTTGTCCCAGTCACGTCATCGTATCACCTACCTGGTCTTTCCCCTCGAAGATGCTGCTGGAAGTTTTTGAAGATGGGCCCTAGCAAAGCTCATTCATTCGCACTCTCTGGTCCCATCGCCGACGCTCTCTGCCCGCTCGGCTGCAGCTGCATGGCCGCCTCGCGGAGACGTGAACTCGCCACTCGCCGACCTCAGGGCCTTGGCACGTGCCGTTCCCTCCGCCTACAACACTCTTTCCAGGTCATCCACACGGCACCCTCCCTCCTTCCCTCCCCCCTCACATGCCCAACATTCGGTGAGACCTCCCCACCACCCTGGTCCCTGGTCCCTGCACCTTCCACACACGCCCCCTCCCTCGTGTGATTTCCGTTGAGCTCCCATCCCCTCGAAAATGGCCCACGCGGCTTGTGTCTTCCTTATCTGCCTTCCCCACTGGAATGTCAGCTCCCCGCAGGCAGGGAATTTTCACACTTTTGTTCGCTGCCACAGCCCCGCGCCCAGAACCGCGCCCGGCGTATCCACAGGAACCATGGCGTGGCCCCTGCGCACCAGTCACTCACCTCGGCCCTGGGCATTTCTGCCAGTTTCCCCAGTGACTGAGGACTTCACCCTCCATGAGGCGCTAGGCAAGCTCCTGAAGCTGCAGGAAGCTGCCTGCTCGTTCCCGGGCGAGCCGTGTGGACGGGCCATGCTCTGCCTCCGCCATCCCTGCACCGCCCCCGGGACTCTGTGCTCCGCTTTCCCAGGGCCCGGCAGACGGGTCCCTCCAGAGCCTCAGTGACTGAGGAAGGCAGGTGCCCTCCTCCAGGGCCCCGGCTCCTGGCTTCCGTGAGCTCCCGGGAGGAAACCATCTGCAGGCTGGCGCTCACTGGTGTGAGCAGAGCTCTCCCTGGTCGGCTGTGGGCGAGGCAGCCGCGCAGGCCGGCGGCCATTACCCAGGCTTTCCAGACAGCGATGCCCAAGCCACGGGCAGAGGGACAGCAGCCCGCTGGACAGTCTGCGTAAGGGACACCCGGAGGGAGCGGGCCTCCGTCGCCCTCTCCGCCCGGCTGTGACCCTGTATTTCTCAGCCCAACATGGTTACACACCGACCCCCCCACCCCGGAGACCGGTCCCCGAGGCTCACCCATCTTTCTGCTTTGAACGCTGACAGCTGGTTACCCCTCACAGATCAGAACGACGTTTCTTTCATCTGCCTTGAAAAGCCTTTTGTGAGACGGGGAGTGACCCACCAGTAACCTCTCTATTCCTGTCTGAAGGGGAAACACTTCCAGATCAGAGACCGCGCGGCGGTGCCAAGACCGGGCATATATGAATCCTGGATTCTGCCGCCGAGGCCCCGTCCCTAACCCCGTGCCAGTCGCCGCTTCAGAAACGAGCCAGCGGCGGAGCAGAGCCATCGAGAATCGGGGGGTTGATTCTTTCCCCCAATTAAGTCGTTTGAAACCAACGTTTCCACATTTTGGGGGGGTTGATGTCATAAAATTCCCATGTCTGACTGCATTTTGGAGAACAGTCCGTGTGTGTGTGTCTGTGTGTGTATGTGTGTGTGTATGTGTGTGTGTATGTGTGTGTGTGTGTGTGTGTTGGAATGCGAGAGGTAACAGCAGCATGTGACTTAGGAAATAAGCCCCTGAGCTCGGAATCTGAGATGCGCAGACGGAAGGGCCGCGGGGCCGCGGCCTCGGCTGCCGCGGAGTCACAGGACGTGAGGACTGGCCCTGGCTGGCTGGACGGTAAATGCAGGACGTGAGGACTGGCCCTGGCTGGCTGGACGGTAAATGCTGGTCCTTCTGCAAAGACCCGGTCCGCCGGGCACCAGCTGTTGGTACCCCAGGCGCAGCGTCAGCGGGCTTCTATTTAAAACTCTCACACCTGGCGCCCGGACGGTCCTCGTTCCCAGGTGCCTTCCCCTCCCCGTGTCGGCCCGGTGAGCCCAGCCCGCTGGCATGGAGAGGGGCATGAGTAAGGGGAGCTGGGCAGGGGGGGCTTTCACCTTGGCTGCTGCCGCCAGGCCCAGAGGCAGACAAGACAGCCCTGGAAACTGCCAGGGGAGAGGCGGCCCGGCGCCCAGAGGTGGGGGAGGAAGGCTGGCTCCCTTCCTCGTGTTTAAGAGACGGCAAAGGCAGACACGCACTGTTTTGTGCCTTCACAGACTGCACTAGGCGGCCCTCGGATGTGCCCGGGCCCCGGGGGGCCTTACCTAAATAAGCTCCAGATCTGTCAACATCAGTTAGGGGCAAGGGGGGGGGCGGATTTAGAAGGGGGGTGAGAGAGGCCCAGCTGGTGTGGCTCAGTGGTTGAGTGTCAACCGGTGAACCAGGAGGTCACAGTTTGATTTCTAGTTGGTCGTGGCACACGCCCAGATTGGGGGCTCCATCCCCAGGGGAGGGCGTGCAGGAAGCAGCCGATCAACGGTTCTCTCTCATCACTGACGTTTCTATCTCTCCCTCTCTCTTCCTGTCTGAAATCAATGGAGATATATTAAATATAAAATTAAAAGGAGGGGGATGAGGGAAGCTGGGAACAAGGAAATGGAGGGATAGGCACCAAAAGCAACCTAAGGAGGAGAGCAACTAGGACAGTGTCGGGCCCGAGCCCACGGTTTTCATCGTCCCCCGGGTCCAAGTCCCGCACCCTAATCACGGAGCGGGCAGCGGGGGGCTCAGATACTCCAGGACGGCGGTGTGCGACTACGGACTTTGCTCCTATGTGGTCCCGATCGTGTAAAACTTCCCGGTTCTGGTCCTCACAGGGGCCTCTTCCTGCTCCTGCTCCTGCTCCTCCTCCTCTTCCTCCCGGCACAGCCACCATCACGGACAGGAGCAGCCGGCCCGGAGCAAGGCAGCGCTCACGTTGTAGAAGCTCTCCAGCCGGCTCCACAGAGACAGGGACGCTGCGCAGAGGAACAGAGACATTCCAGAGATTCTTCACGTGCAAGCGGATATTTCCTCTGAGCGTTTCTAGACTAAATAACACGCCTTGTGTCTACAGGACGGGGGATACTGCTGGCCTGGCAATGCTCTCCGCACAGGGTGAGCGCAGGGGGCCCGGGCGCCTGGGGGGAGAGGAAGGTGAGGCTGCCTGAGTCACGTCTCTCCTGGGAGAATATCTCCCTCCACTGACACGACACCCATTTCAGATTCGGGGGTAGGCGGGGTTGTTGGCAGACCTTGGGAATGAAATGGGCTGGACTTCTGAGAATAAATCTACCTGGGCCTCTCATTAACCATTTTCATATATATAGATTTAGTCCTCACCCCAGGTTATTTTTTCCATTGATTTCTATAGTAGAGGAGAGAGAGAGAGAGAGAGAGAGAGAGAGAGAGAGAGAGAGAGATGATTGGTTGCCTCCCGCATGAGCCCCTACCAGGATGAAGGAACATGCAACAGAGATATGTGCCCTTGACAGGGAATCAAACCTATGACCCTTGTCTGCGGACCAGTGCTCTAACACTGAGCAAACCAGCCAGGATTCATGTATATATTTTTTAAAATATATTTTTATTGATTTCAGAGAGGAAGGGAGAGAGAGAGAGAGAGAGAGAGAGAGACATCAATGATGAGAGAGAATCATTGATCAGCTGCCTCCCGCACGCCCCACACTGGGGACCGAGCCCACAACCCGGGCATGTGCCCCTGACGAGAATCAAACCCAGGACCTTTCAGGACGCTCCATCCACTGAGCCAAACCGGCCAGGGCTCATGTATATATATATATATATTTTTTTTTTTTTTGGCTCGTGTATATTTTTAATAGACTTTATTTTTTAGAGCAGTTTTAGGTTCAGAGCAAAATTGAGGAGCAAGTACAGAGATTTCCCATAGATGCCCTGCCCACCCCACATGCACAGCCCCTCCCCCACTGCGACCATCCCGCACCAGACGGGACACCGGTTACAATCGGTGAACCTACATTGCACACCATTGTCACCCTAAGTCTGCCTGTCACATTAAGGTTCACTCTTGGTGTCGGACATCCTGTGGATTTTGGCAAACGTGTAACGACATGTGTCCACCATTGCAGGGTCATGCAGAGCCATTTCACTCCTAAAAACCCTCCCCTAGGCATCCCTCCCTCCCCCCTGATCACACAGTCTGCAGCCTTTTCAGATTGGCTTCCTTCACTTAGTCACATGCACCTCGAGTTCCTCCATGTCTTTGCATGGCTTGGTAGCTCATTTCTTCGGTGCTAAACAATATCCCATTGCCCGGGTGTAGCCACTTTTATCTACAGGATGTGGCGAAAGTAGGTCTACAGCTGTGGCTTGGATGTGCATCTCTCTGATCATGAGTGACGTGGAGCATCTCTCCACGTGTCTGTTGTTGGCCGTCTGCATGTCCTCGGCAGAGAAGAGTCTATTCAGGCCCTTTGCCCAGTTTTTAATGGGCTTGTCTGTGGGGGGTTTTTGGGGGAGGGGGAGTGTTGAGTTTTACAAGTTCTTTCTAAATGTTGGATGTTTACCCCTTATTCGATGTATCATTGGCAAATAGGTCCTCTCCAGAGGGTTGTTTTTCCATTTTGTTGATGTTTTCCTTTGTTTAATGTAGTCCTATTTGTTTATTTTTTCTTTTGTTTCCTTTGCCCAAGGCAATATATCAGAAAAATATTACTGAGAGACATGTCGAGATTTTACTGCCTGTGTTTTCTTCTAGGAGTTGTATCATTTCGAGTCTCACATTGAAGTCTTTAACCCGTTTTCAGTTTATTCTGGTGCCTGGTGTGAGAAGGTTTCATGTTTTTGCACGAATCTGCCCCGTGTGCCCAACACCACTTACTGAATAGACTCTCTTTACCCCGTTGTATGGTTTTGCCTCCTTTGTCAGATATTAATGGACCGTAAAGCTGTGGGGTTCCTCCTGGGCCCTCTACTCTGTCCCGTGGATCTGTGTGCCTGCTTTTAGGCCAGTGCCATGATGTTTTGATTACGATGCTTTTAAAAGCCTCCCGTCACAGATCCGCCAGATTCTCCCTGGTGCCGCAGTGTCTCTACCGTCACCGAGTCTGGGAACTTTAAAGCTCTCTGAGGCCCGGAGGAAGGAGGTGGTGAACTGAAGTTACATAACCGGCATGAGCAGCGCTGAGCTAGCCTGAGAGTGTAGCCCGCCTACTTGCAGGAAACCCTTTAATCCCCTCCGAGAAATCCGGCAGAAAAACCAATGTTAGACCAGAAATTCAACTACTCGCAGCCTCTACGACAATCCTATCTAGAAAGGTCTGCGTACAACCAACGCCAAGCTGAACGTCCCACGAGAGAAAAGCAGGTCTCAGGCTATTCCGACCTCCTGGTCAGGTGTTGCCAAGAACCTGCCTCTTCCGTCCTAACGGCTTGATACACACGCGCATGCCTTGAAGGCCGTCACTGGGTACCACCTGCATTCGCTTGAACCAAGGTTAAAGTGCCGCCCCAACTGATGAACGTGGGCAGCGATAGTAACAAGTGTAGTGTGTGTGTATCTCGCTGCGTAGGGACTGCCCCTGGAGAACAGAACCTACTGTGCGCACACGTAGTGTCTTATCCACACAGGACCGTGAGGAGGGGAGGGGGGAGGAGGCAGGGGAGGAAGGAAAGGTTGCCCCGAGCACAGTCACCATCTCGGCTGAGGTGGCTGCTCAGGGAGACAGACACTGACGCTCCCCACCCCTCCTCCTGCGCCCCTCCTCCCCACTCGGGCTGGGAGGGCCGCTGTGCCTGGCTCTCTCAGACACATGCATGGCCCTCTCCCGGGCCCCCCCTGGGAGAGGTTTAGCTTCGCTTCTGTAAGAGACCGACAGGACTGGCCCTGCCCCTGACCCTTCTTCCCGCCTGGACGGTGGGCGCGATTCCCGGAGCTGCAGCAGCCACTGGTGACCATGCGGTGGCCAACCAGCCCTTTAGTCCACAGTCTAGTCGCCTCGTGCCCAAAGGCCACTCCAGCTGCCAACCCTCTCTCCCCGGGTGTGACTATGGCGATAGTAGGGCACGGGAAGTGCCCGGAACATCATTCAACCAGAGGAGACAACTGCTCTTAAAACTAACCGCTGGCCTAGTACGCTCAGTGAATACAAGTGGAACAAGAAGTTAAAAAACTATTCTGCTTCCATTCTGGTGAAGGTCCCGAGGCAGAGCGCAAACCAGTGGGCGCCAGCTACTACCGAGTTCCGAAGTGAGGCCCTAGGCCCGCCCAGAGAGCTGTCTGCGGACCCATGACCCCACGGGTGGAGGCTGGCAAGGCCAAGGGGGGGAGGTTGGGAATGAGATGATTACTTTAAGGAGAATTGTTGGATGCTATGGCACTTCCCCCACACATCCACCCCACCACGATGAGAGGAGGGCCTGTGAACTTCCAGGGGGCCCCTGCAGAGACGTACGTCCCCAGGAGCTTGGGGACCGCACAGCCGGTGTCTGTACATGCCCACGAGATCTAAACAGCAAGAAGCCCTCAGTCAGAACAAGGAGAGGTGGCTGCCCGGGTGGGTACCGAGTCCCACCCCCTGGGGCTTGCCCAGCGCCCAGATGTGG